TATAGCTTTGATTTTACTACAATCGTTTTGTTCCTCGTTGAACATCTTAATCCATCATGTCTTGAGGATGGAGGAAGTAGAGTTTGGGGAATATAATTATAAGTACAAACACGTACCAACTCAGTGAAATTAGATCAAACCTTTTATTTATTTTTTTCAAAATGTTGTGTATTGATTCAATTCCCCTTGTATATTTAAATGTTGCGTGAAATCCTCGGGTCTTTGTGAAAATTGAAGATAGCACGAAAATATCTCCCAGACTCCATTTTCATATATTCAGGTGAAATTGAATTACATGCAGGAAGCAGACGACCTATTTATCCTCAGTCTCATGCACACAATATGATATCACATCGTTCTATTCCTCTACTAACATAAAACGACGTCGTAGCTATTAATAAAGATGTAACAACAAGTAAAACACTCGCAACTCAAACATGGCTTCTACTCATAACAGAAAGCAGAAAATCAAATAGTTCTTCCTCAGGCCTCCAATCCACATGCACATGATTATTATCTCCCCTTCGATCATTAATCCTTAATCTCTATTCCAATAGCCTCCCCCCTAGTGGAGCATGGTTGAGACATGCTCAACCTGGACAACAAAAATCTGCTCTGTTTCCCAGGTAATATCTTGAAGAAAACATCAGCAAGTTGCAACCTTAAAGAAACATGCAAAGGTTGCACAAACCCCGACTTACACTTATCTCTCACAAAATTGTTGGGTTCTATTAGGAACATCGAAAATACGCACGTTCAAATCTATTGAATAATAAATCCTAACGCAGCGAAATCTATAGTTAGGATTAGGACTTACGGTTTAAAATTTTTGCCGACTCTGAGACGTTTCTGATTTCCTCTGAGAGAGATCGTCTGAACCGCAGAGTCTGTTGGGCAGCCGGACTTGGCCTCGTCATTGCACTCCGGTTGCTCGTCGGACTCGTTAGATCGTCTCGGACCTTCGGTAAATTAATCGGACCATCCAGACTGCTCGGGAACTGTCTTGGACATGAAACAAGGCTGTCGGGTCGAGCTGAACTGGATTGGAGTGCTGCTGGACCGCCTGGACCGGTCTGGAACATTCTGGACCGAGTTGGCAGCTTCTTAGGCCCGTTAGACTGCTTCTGGGCCTCGCTGGAATCACTCTGAGCCGCTGGGAAGCAACTGGGCCGTGCTAGAGCAAATTGGGCTGCGGGCTCTCTCGGTTGGGCCGTTGAAACAGGCTAGAAAGAGCTGGGCCACGCGCGGGCTGGGCGCAGGCTTCGCGAGCCGGGAGCTGTGAGAGCTACAGGTTGCAACGAGGGCCGCACGGCCCGCGCGTTTTCCTTTTCTCGCTTTGGGTATCGCGAAGTTGGGCCGAGCGAATGCTGCTGGGCTTCACGCGCGTTGTGCTTCTTCACACTGGGCCGCACACTGGACAATGACAACTCGCGCTGGGCTTCGTTCACAGGCTGGGCACGCATGAAGTGGGCTGGAACAGTGCGTGAACTTTTGGACGCGGGAATTGTCTGAACTCCAGTGTCACCGAAAAAATTATATATATTTATAAATATATACATAAAAGGCTCGATAAATATTGTACCGTAAAGTCTTCTAATGTATAAATTTTACACCTAGTTCGAATTATCTTGGTAGGCGATTAATTAAAACTCCCGAACTCTCGTATTTATGTTTTCTCGATTTTTCTCTTTTTGGGAAGACCTTAAAATCGAGTCACACGCGTAGGGAAGAGGTTGGGACATGGTGTATTTATAGGTTACATTAGGGACCTTAAGGAGGTGCTAAAAATAGGCTTATCCTATTAGACTAAGGAAACCTAATTCCATTTCATATACTTTTCCAATCAAGGATAGAATTCCTCCTAACCCTAATTACCTTCTAGAAGACACCATAGTCTCCTAATCTTAGGTAATATGCTAGAAGGAATATTCTTTTCCTAATAAAATATTATTTATAGAATAAAATTAATTCCTTAATTTAAATAGAATTAAATAATAAAACATTTCACTAGATAATATTATTGCTCTCCCCATTTAGCTCCAATTTATTAATAAATTCAAACCACCAAATGATTAATTAATATTAATCTAATTGATCGATTTATCTCCATATGTTTAAGATATAATGTTCGTTGATTAATTAAATTACTGACAAAATAATTAATCAACTTCTTGTTCATTCCAAATCTAGTACCACTAAGATCCTTAGTCATTATGTCGGATACACATCCGCCTGCAGGGCTTGACATAATATTCTTTCCTGAGCTCATTTCGGGGACGTCATCAACCCGGCGAACCGGGACATAGTGACCGTAAATAATTTACAACAGCACATCATATAAGCACCCTCATTTAGCAAAATACCGAGTTTGTCATCCTAACAGAATAGGAATCACCCATGGTAAATCAAACAAGTAATGAGTACATATGCCCATTTTATATTATCTCACAGCTTCAGAGTACGCATCAATTATTGAAGGTCTAGATTATAACTGCGATCAGTAAATCTTATAATCTTATCCTTCCGCGGTCCTGTTCAATACTTAACATAAGTACTAGTGCAATCCTTCAGTCAAAGATCAACTGAATCATGACTACACTACAATCTTTTTCCACCAGGGGTCTCACTGCATGTCTAGACTGTGAACAATTAGTCTATATTTTACAAGGAACCGATAATATGATCTTTCTGTTTGACACGACGAACAATACCATCTACAATGTAAAATAAAGGAGTTATGATTTCGTAAATAAATAAACTGCAAACATAAATACTTGACTAAAACATGATTGCCAGATCAAAATGAAATTGCTAGAATCTGAAAGCCAAGCTTTTACAGCTATCCAAACAAAAATGACAATCGATCTCTAGATGCTTAGTTCGCTAATGAAATACCGGATTCGCTGAGATATGTAATGTCGCCTTATTATCACACCACATGGAATATGACAAGCAACAGAGATCTTGAAATCACTGAGAATATACCCAATCCACATCAACTCCGAGACAATAGAACTCATGGCCCGATATTCAACCTCAGCGGACGACCAGGAGACAGTGTGTTGTTTCTTAGTCTTTCCAAGAGATAAGTGAACCTCATAAGAAGATGCAAAATCCAGTGACAGATATCCTTGTATCCTTGCATGATGCCAAATCCGCATCACAATATGCACTCAGTCCAAAATGACTGTCTTGATGAAAATAGAGCCCATGAGAGGATGTACCTTTGAGGTACCTGAGAATGTGCATGGTTTCATCCCAATGAGAGGTATATAGAGAGTTGACAAACTGACTTAATTGCTGGAGCCCATTGGTAATGTCAGGCCTAGTGAGATTGAGATAGAAAAGCCTGCCAATAATCCTTCTATATTGGTCTGGTTGTGGCAAAGGATCACCATTCTCAGATTGTAGCTTAACCTCACAAGGTAAGGGTGTGATGACTGAATGGCAATCCAACATCCCCAAGTCTCCAACTAAATGTAGTACATATTTTCTTTGACAAAGTGTAGTTCCATGTTGTGTCCCTTTCCACTCAACACCCAAGAAATACATAGCTCTGCCCAAATATTTGATGGTGTGTGCCTTTTCTAGAAACACTAGCTCATAGACAAGAGCATCATTGTTGCTAGTAAGCAGCACTAGCTCATAGACAAGAGCATCATTGTTTCTAGTAAGCAGCACATCATCCACATAGACAAGAATGGCCATGAAATCTTGTCCTCTATGATAAGTGAATAAGCAATCATTGCGTGGGGACTGAATCATGCCAAAAACTGAAAGCTTATCACTCAACTCCTTATTCCACTCCCTTGAATCCTATTTTAACCCATATAAACTTTTCTTCAGTTTACAAACTTATCCATGTTTACCTTTGTGATATCCTTGTAGTGGTTGCATATAAACTTCTTCAGTAAGAGTGCCATGAAAGAAGGCATTGTTGAAATCTATCTGATGAAGATTCCACTTATTCATTATGGCTATAGCTGTGAAAATTCTAACTGTGACAAGCTTAGCAACAGGAGAGAAAATATCAAAGAAATCAATCACTTCTTGTTGATTGTAACCCTTTGCCACTA